AAAAAAAAAAAAAAAAATTGAAGAGTTAAATCATTAATATAGTTTAAAGATATTATTAAAAATTATTAAATGAGTCGCTTCGCATGTCCTTTTCTAATAAATTTTACAAAATAAACTTTTTGCTAACTCTTTTCTTCGATCTAACTTATCCGCCACCAGGGGTCAAAGACCTAGTAACTTTGTCCGTTTTGAGTGAGTGTTCGTGTCCGTCTGTAGTGGGGTCTACAAATCTGAAAAATGAAAACAGAGGTCGCAACAAATAGTTCAAAATTTCGAAATATTTTTATATTTAATGACGATATCTTAATCCGAAAGTTTTTAACATAGCCTATGAAGACGTTTTACTTTTTATACAACTGATTCGTACCCCTCTACAGATATGCCATCTGTTTTCAAACATTAATCTTAGGTGGTAGGTATTCAAAATTCGTCGGAAGGCGAATGTGGTTACCTTATCTGCGTTCATCATAATATAATATAAGCCCGTCTGTCCGTCTTATGTCTGCCCATTTAATTTGTGTTTAAGCTGCAGATCACAATTTTCGATATATTTCGATATGTATTGAGATATTACGCCTATTTTTGGATCCTGCCCTATGTATCAATTAAACTTGTACTAGCTTAGGTTGTGTTTTGGGCCGTCTTCCTCATAAATACGCACATTAAAAATTTGCCTTTATATAGAATCGAAATATATTATTATTATTATTAATATAAATTCTAAGACTAAAATCTTAAAGCACTACCATCATCTAAGGCTTTCAGCTTTTATTAAAATGTTCTACCGCACTTGGGATTTGAACCCACGACCATTGGATAGGCGGATAGAAACAAGATGTAATTTTTCTATTCTATAATAAAAATAAGAATTTTCTTGGACAAAGTGGTGTAGGGCAATGAAAAGCAGTCAGCCTCGCTCGACTATAATCTTCTTACTTGTTTTCTATTAAAAAGTTTTCTTTCGCAAACACATATCCTTGTAGTAGCATACAGTAGCAGGGCAAATATTATCTATTATGATTGTCAAATAGAAACAACATATTGTATTAAATAATTAAAAATAGTTTTTTGTGTGGACCCGTATATATATATCTATATAAACATATTATTTTATCAAATATTTCAATAAGCGTCCAAATGTTGCAAATGAAAAGAATATTGAATAATATGCACATTACAAAATTATCATCAAATATTAAAGCGTGTTATTGATGGTATCATTACGTTAGAAATGCGTGAAGCTATAGATCGAAAACAGTAGTAAGTAAGAGAAGGCAGAAACGGTTTGATGGTAAATAATTCAATCGTAAACAAGCAACGAACAGAGAGAACAGAAGCAGACGCATGTACGGGGAGGCGTACAAATGCGAAAATACACAAAAGCCATGCATGCACATGCAATGGCAAACAATCGATTGAATTGTGTATGGAATGCTTGAATAGTTACCATGTTTGCATGCATGTATACATGTGTGTGTGTGTGCGCGCGTGTGTGTGTGTGTGTGTGTGTGTGTGTATGTGAACTAAATTTTTAAAAATATACCAAAAATATTCAGAAAACGTTATTTATGAAGATTAAAATTTTTAAAAATATACCAAAAATATTCAGAAAACGTTAAGAAGATTAAAAAAAATACGTTCCAGTTTTTAAATAATTCTTGAAAAATCAGCAACCGTAATCATCATCGTCAGAATCGATTGCAGCACGGCGCCTGTCATATTTAACGGTACTTTTATTCTGTGGCATCTGGGCATTAACATTTTCCAAAATATGAACAAATTGTGCGTCATCTAGTTTGCCGCGAATCTGACCCATCTGTGCCATACGTATAACCATGCTTTCAAACATTTGGGCTTTGTCGGGCTTGCTAATCTTTAAAGTATTTACTGTTAAAGTAAATAAATTTTTTTTTTTTTTGCTTTTTAAGGAACTGGCAAAGTCTTAGCCATTTCAACTTACGTCTGGCTCTGGCCTGTTGATCCAACACCTGAGAAAGTATAGTATTTTTTATCTCTTCTTGTTGACGCATTTGTTCTTCCTGAGCTTTCTGCTTATCCGGTGCATTGTGCCCACCAGCCTTAAAAAATGCGAAAGACACTGGATTAATTGAGTTGTTAAAGACATCGCTTTACGTAAAGATCTATGTTGCCCAGTTACCTATCTATTGCAGCAAAGAAAATGAGTCATTTTTGCTTTTCATACAAAACAGAAGCCTTTTAAAATTTCTTCCAAGTTGACGATTACATTATTTTAATAAATGTTAAATATAATCGGTCAGTTGGAGAATTAAAAAAACATTTTCCCGTTAACCCCCTTTCTCTATATATAAGGCACACGCATATATAAACATTTCCGCCGGCCATCGGTTTGGAGCTTTTACATTCTAAAACAGGAAATGAAACTTACATATTGCGATTGTAATTGGGCTAACCGTTGAGCTCGTACAGCTTCTAAATCATTGTCAGCCATTATCTATTCCCAATAACTTCGTTAATTGATTCGAATTTTTTCGCTCCTTTCCTTATTATTATTTCTTTAAGATTATTTTTTGTTAGGGATGCGAGAGTATCATATATTTATATTGATATCGTTCTTCTTCTCTTTAAAAACAGGCATGGCAAAAATTAAGTTGAAAGTGCCGCCAAGTTACTACTCATCAATATTATCAAATAAGCCTAAATAAATAGTATTGCAAGCACGATAACGTCGCGCTTATATCCTAATGTTTGGGAATATACAAAATCAAATGTAGTTACGTTTTTCGTGGTGAAATACACTTTTTCCAACTTTTAAACGCCATTATGACAATTTGGAAACATTTGGTCTTGTATGCAAATAAAATAAAAACAACAACAAGTAGTTAAGACGATTTACGATCAACGTAAATGCCCAACTTAACAAAAATGTTAACGCCAAGCAGCTAATGTTAAAGGCCAAACTTAATCGACAAAAGGGAATCGATTCTGTTAAATAACACACCAAATGCCGAACTTTACCGACAAAAGGGATTCGATTCTGTTAAATAACAGACCAAATGCCCAACTTTACCGACAAAAGGGAATCGATTCTGTTAAATAATAGACCAAAGGGATTCGATTCTGTATAACATTTGTTGGCATTTCTAATTAAAATTTTGTTTGCTCTGACAGAGGAACTTGGCAACCCTGGTACCGTGGTGGTATTGCTGGCATTATCCTTTAAAAAGTTGACTTTACCCTGATAGAGAGAAAATTCACCACTTTTCAACGCTTGCCTACACGTGTAGAGTTAATTGTTCTCTTATATAAGCCAAGAATAATTTTTGTACTAATTCATAAAATAGATAATGGAGAGAAATAAATTGCTAAATATCGGGTAACTGGCCACTTTAAAATTAATCCTATGCTAATAATGGTTACTAAACATTTCTAATGAACATAAAATGATAATCTTAAATTCATCAATAAGTTGAAAAATATGTTTTGAAATTTTCTTTGTTTAACTGATTCTTTTTCATTTATTTTGCTCCATATATTTTCAGTTAACGTCGCAGATATTCAGTAAAAACTTCAAATACAGAGAGAAATATCAACGCAATTTAGAGTAAGTAAGTGTTCGTGTATGCCACGTGCGCTAAATTAAATTTAAGGTTCAATAATGATGACAAGCTACATATATCACTGACTAGCATTGAAGAACTTAATCGTGCACTACCAACTGAATTATTTATTTTATAATTTTTTACTTATTCCAAAAAATTCTGTCTATATGATATAATATTTCGTTCATTTACAGCGCTCTTCAAAATGAAGTTCGATATGTTTAAAGGATTATAACACGGGTTCGAATCGACTCATATATTATATAACGTAATATAATCAATGTACTTGATTGAAGACGTTTCTGGTTTTAAAAGTAGGTCACTAACATTATTAAATGATGCCGTTAACAATTGGTAACACAATTTCCCCAAGAAGTGGCCTTATCTTATAGATGAAATGGTAGAGAAATTTTCTACTGGTGATTTTAACGCTATAAACGGTGTGCTTCAAACTGCTCATTTACTATTCAAACAATATCGTTACGAATTTAAATCTCAAACTCTGCGGGAAGAAATAAAATTTGTACTAGATCGCATATCCAAGCCCTTAGGTAAGTGAAGACTGTCTTGTCTGCCCATTGAAAAATGGATTTTCAAATTTATTATTATCGATGTTATTTCCAATTGAAAACAGTCTGTTTTCGGAAGTGAAGTTTTCATTTCAAGCAAATATTTTTGTGCTTACTTTTAAAACATGGCATAAACTGGTTTCAAATCTTTAAAAATTTCTAATAAATGACGAAATGTAAACAGCAGGGATTAGTTACTTTGAATCGAAGATATACACGAATTTATATGCGGAATAACAATTTTCTCAAACATTTTTGGCAGTTCGCTTCTCTACGCTGTTCCTATAACCCCTTTTATGAACAGGGACGAGAAAACTACTATTCTAGTACGCTGGGAACACCCTTGTTTTTAACGATAGGCTGAAAATACGCGCTATAGCCACACAGAGTTCATCAGCATAGGCAACAAGTATACAGGATTGGATTCCATCCGGGCCTGAAGAACAACTTCTTCTTCATGGTGCTGTTCTACGTCGAACTTCGTCATTGGAAATAATAATGTTTGGAATAAAGATCCTATCATCTAAGTTAAACGCCCTGGACATTGCTGCGAAAAACGAGCACGCAACAACAACCGGGCATTCAACGGCCCATAAGAGACTGTGCTAAATAAACTACCGCAACGTGATCGCGTAAAAACCGTTGCGCGAAAGCAGATACAAGGAAATGATGAGGCGAATTGGCGGTTACAACCTCGGTGAAGTTGTAAGTAGGGTGTGAAACGATCAAAAGACTTTTGTAATGATACAGCAGATGTTCAAGATCGGAGAGCGAAGCGAGTAGTTAGTAGTTAAACTAAGTGAAAATGAATAGTGCTCCAGTGGGCTACGCTGCCGTAACCACTAAGACAACCGAATCTGAATGAATAAAACCGCCACCAGTTTGTTTATTAGAAAAACACAAAAAATTTGAACTTTTTGCCGTATGAATAAAACCCCCACCAGTTTGTTTACTGGAAAAACACAAGAAATTTGAGCATTTAAGATAGCAATAGACGGGTGTGTACCACGCCTTCGTCGACTGACCGCTTACTATAGCTACTAAAGTAAAGTTTACCGCCGTGAGATTTGAATGCGCGTACATTAACCTTATGATTCCGGTTTTTGGAATATCCAAATACTAATTTTACAATCCTACACTCTTTGGGAGCTGATAAACCCGCGGTTTGTCCTTTATTCCCTGCAATTGTGTTGAAAGACATTTTTGTATAAAATGTATTTAATTTAAAATTAATGCCAACAAATATCGTTTAGTGTTTCAAACTATTACCTGTACCGATGGTGGAGTTCATAATTTGACAGTCATCAATGAAGGCAACACCATTCAAGACTTCACCCAAGATAGCCCTTGCGATTTTGCACTTGCTTGTATTGTGTAAAACTGCGATTGCTTGGGGTATTGTTCTTCAGGTGTATTACATCAGAACCCCTTAAAGATGGCAGGTGCGCGGTAAGCGGTGTCAATTGAGAAATACGAGCTTTACATCATCACAAAGACACAAATGGATGGCAGTAAATCGGTCGGGGTGAGTTCACATGTAGTGATCGATGTTCCGTCTGGAGGAGCGAGCAGCTGCGAAAAATAATAATCTTGAAACTGACTGTAATGTACTAGCTGCAGCCACTCAAGTTGTTGTAAGTATGGAGTTGAATCGGGCTGCTTATGACACGTTAAAAAATGTTTATCTTATGGTGAAAATGATGAGAAAAATTTCTCCGGAATCAGGTAAGAGAAACGAGCTAATATGCAAAAAATGCAGCTAATGTACACGTTTTTGCTACTAATCAGGACATACTCTGGTCGCTGCTACGTCTTCTATCTCACTTTTTATTCCATAATGAAAGCATTAAGCTGGTACAAACTTTGAAAGTTGGGATTTCAATATGGGAATTAGGCCAAGGTTAAAATTATTTTTATGAACTCTTTTGATTGACTTCTATAAGAAACGAAAAGAAAGAAGGGGCAACTTAATAACTATTTGCAATGCAGCCAATGTCAATCTATGAGAGGTCGCTTTTGTGTTTGTTATTGAACACTTTCTCAAAGGGCTAAATACTAAATGCAAACCCTTTGAATGAGAAACAACAAATTTCGACTTAAATGTGATAATGTACATCGATTAAAATCAAAGAAGGCTTGGGAAAAAATCTAAATTTTATCATTACGCCCGTGAAATACCTTGCAACGAACTGAGTGATTCTGCGAAGAAATTTCTAATCCATCTAAGCACGGATTTGTACTACTTTAACAGACTCCGTGAGGAAATCTTTCGTTTAACAACAATTCTGTGCTCTTTTTATATATATGGCACTACGACTTCCTCATCGACGCCCCGTCTTCCTAGAAGGCGGTGCTTACTACTGCCTTCGCCGTTGGAAGTGTTTCTCTGCGTAACGTTGAACTACATTTCGCAATGTTACGACTTCTTTGACTACACAGTAAATACAGCAAGCACAGATGGAGATAGGACAGCAGGACATAGATTTGGGAGAAGTACCGATGGAGATAGGACAGCAGGATATAGATTTTGGAGAAGTCCCGGTAGAAATAATAGATTGTGGAGGAGTGCCGGTAGACGAAGAAGAACAGGTGAGCACCGAGTACGAAGAATTTTTAGGATTTACCGATACAGACAGCATATTTTCACATAAAAAAGTTGCAGGGGATCAAACGGAGGGACAGACGGACAGCAAACTTAGCACAGAAAGCCCCAATATTATAAATTTAGATTATAATGTAAAAGATGACGAGGGACCGTCAACATCGGCGGCGGCAGCAGGGAGGGGAAGGATCAACGTCTTGAACCAGAAGGCCAGGAAGTAGAAAAAGCTGAGAGAGTGGTGCCGGACATTGAGGCCGTGAGGAAATTGACTCGAAGAATCGGGCTTGGAGAACCACAAATAAACGGTAAATTCAAATTTTTTACTTTAGATAAAGAAGTCCACCCGCAAAATTAAGATTAACGTAAGATTCCGTGCATGCCAAAGGTAAGTTTGCATTTATCCTTAGTTATTCTTATTTATAATTTATTTAGTTACTTCTATTTCATTTTAGTTTAAAAAGCAGGCATACACCTCCGCTCATCGTTTCAGCAAATGCGATACCTCCGTAGGCCAAAAGGTAAGTTTGTCATCATCTTTATATACAAAATTTATTAATCACAATATCTTTGTTTTGCAGATGTCAATTTAAACTGAATTTTCTGATTTTTTTTCTTTATATTTTTGGTTCATTTTAATTAAATAATTTGTAAAAATGACAACCATGTGAGAATAAGCGTACACGTTTCTTTACATTTTTCAATAATTTTGTATTTATTTGAATAAAATTGGTGCCTTTAAAGAGATTTAAAAAATGTAAGTTTATTCGGACTAATTAAAAACAACTTTAAGGTGCCCTTTTTCTTTCAGATATCTAAGGCTGTTAACGATTCTTATCGCTCCTTCAATAATTCTCAACATCCCTTCGTTTATTTGAATATTATTACCAGCCGGCAAGAAGTCGATGTTAATCTAACCCCCGATAAACACCAATTGATGCTTAGCAATGAGTGAGGAGATCTCTTCATCTTACTTTTGATCAGATACCAGCCACCTACAAACTTCAAAATATCACCATTTCAGATGTGCAGTCTCAAGCAAATAATGCTGATCTGGAAAGTATTGATTTAATACCACTGAGTACGGCGGAAAAATTTCGCAATGTGCTTTCACAATGGAAACGTACTGGGGATACGGCGGGCAAGGCTCCCAATGCTACCATTGCTAAATTTAATTAAGGCTGAGGACACCCTAAAATCTGAGAGGGAAAGCAGAGCTGAATTAGTAAAATATCAGGCTTCGATCGCCTATATACAGTTAACTTAGTCGC